GTTTTGCAAGTCACTGTCCCTCCTTTCAGTCTGTTTTCCATAAATGCCTAAAGGAAGTGTCAGTAGGTGAGGTTGTGATAGAGAACTGGAATATCAGATAATAAAACTCTATAACTGGCATGAGTGTGACACAATTCCAGTACACAGACCAAAAATGTCATTTCACTCAAATTTGCAGACATATAAAAGGGGCCAAGACAGACCAATAAAGAGCARCATATTATCAGCATATTATTTTAAATACTTGACTGTGATCAGTAGGAATCATAATTGATCAGCTTGTTTGAAAATCATGTACTTTTATTTAATGCTTAAATATCATGATATCGACATCTTTCATTACATGGAAGGAACTTAAGCGTTTGAATTTGTAGACAAATTCAAGTGTTCAGTTCTCAAAATCTGAGAATTTTGTSCAATTCTCAGATGTACTTATGTAGCATTTATCTGCATATTTAAATGCCYAATAGTTATAAAAATATTAATGTATCTTTAATATGTAACTTCATGGATCTTAGCAAATCTCTAGGAGAAAACCTCTGCTCTTTCTGCAAAAAACAAAGGGAAGTGCCAGCTCAATCACTTGTACTCCCTCTTCCCTACAGATCCTCTTCTCAAACTGTGTGTCTCCAAATTATTTTGATTATTTAATATATAACAGGTTCCTGTGCTAACAAAAGACCACAGGTTTGTACCATGGTGCTCCTTGGAATCAACAAATTATTCTGTAGATGTGAACTCAGAGTTTATTAAATTCAGTATTAAAGGCCAAGAGGATTTTACCCCACACWAAGGTACCGAGTTTCAAGAAATAARGCATTTCTTTAGGGCTCTGGAATTGTCCTGGCTCTCTCCCTTGGTAGCACAGAGTGGGAGTGAAGTGGTACAAGAGGGAGCTGCAGAGTGACTTGACAAAATGAAGGGATTGTTAAGTTACTTTAGAGCCTTGTCCCATCAGACCATTCCAGCCACTGAAGCGGATCAAATGGTTACATAAAACAGTGGAACTAATGGAGTGATTTTATTTGTACTGGAGCAAGTCCACGCTTGTGTGCCCTTTGATTGACTCGAAGTATCTGCGTAACTTTATAGGAAAAGACATTTTCTAGCCCTAAAAAAGTCAAGTGCATGTTTCTTTTTTTTCCCACATTTTATATCCAGGTTAATTCCTGTTTCTTATGCTTCATTTTATCTTTTGGAAACATGGAAAGAGACCTCACTACATTTTCTTCTAGTGAGTAGGGAAGCAACACTTGCAAAGGCAGCCTGAGAAATTGTGTTTTCATTTTCTAGGAGCAGGCATGGGCATGGCACCTGAGAMAGAATTCTGTGTATTTTTGAAACAAGTAGCACATTGGACCTTGGCACAATGGCAAGCAGGTGCCAGGAGGACACTGACAAAAGTGAGGGGRTTTGTGCAATGTGAGGATATTCTTGGAGTTCTTGGGCTCTTTCCCTAGTGCTGGTACAGCAGGGAGCAGCCTCACTCCAGAGGACACCAGCTCTAATCCCTCCATGTCAGCTGTGCAAAGGGACTTTTCTTCTCTCAAAGTGCTGCCCGAAATGTCCCCCAGCATTCAGAGCTCCTGCCTGAGGCCACCACCCCACCTTTCCCTCTGATGATGCCAGCTGCCCTATCTCCCTGCCATCTGATTGTTCAAGTCAGTTGTTCACCTTCCACATGGAAGTCTGCAATACTCATCCCTTGAAAGAAYTGTAACTCTAAACATTTAGAGCCTGATCCTCTTTGCATTACAATTACCTGAAGTTTTGATCATTGGAGCAGGTGTGGTTCTTGACAGGGCATGGTAGAGCTTCAGAGACCCAGAATTTACCGTGTAAAGTCCAATTCTYAGTCCTAGCCCTGAATCTCTGGGTGCTCACAGTAGGTGCTTCCTGTTTATCAATCTGTCAGGAAATGTTTTTCCAAAGATATTCTCTGGACAATGTCTGACGTCTTGAGGGGATGATGATATGGGCGATTTAAGAATTATTTTCCTTWATGGGGTGTCTCTAATGCATACAAATATTGTCCAGTTTGTAAAGTGAGGCAGTGGTAGAGAAAGATCTAAGTTAATTGAAAGTGAGGGGGTTCAGTGTCCAGAATCCAAGATGATAAATGAACAATATTTATTTCTGAGAAAAACAGTGGGCAGTTTCCATACTGATTTTTTTGTTGGTCAATGTAGTTTTATACATATATTAGTATGTATATAAATAAAAAGTATTCCTTCTTTCACTTGATTTTTCATTCTTGATTTTTATGGCGTTGGTAGGTTTGGTTGTTCTTTCTAAATGAACTGTTCTTGAGAATGCCTGTTGGAACAGTGTTGGGAATTTTTGTAGATTGAGGAGTATTCGAGTATTTTGGAGATTGAGGAATATTGTTACCTTATTCTTTWTTAAATACTTTWGGAGATGTAAGCTATTATTTTTATYGCAAATTTTTGAGGAATCAAATTGTAGGTGGATTTAGGTTATTATAAGGATTGCCATGCTAGAGTCTTCAAATATATTAACCCATAAATATTGAGGGAAGAATTTTTATCAAGTTCTAATTCTGTAATGTGATTTTTAAAAATATTGTAAATGTTCTTGGAAGCAAAGCTTGTTGATTTCTCATTAGAAYGAAAAATGTAACTTTTGGCTGTGTAGGTCTACCTTATTTACATACCCTGGTGTTTTGAAGCTTAATTTGGTTCCTAAGCCTAGTTCTGAGTTTTGATGTATGAAATACCAGGCTTATTCACATCCAACAGATGCACTGAAAAAAAGCTTTATTTGTTGAGCTCCCTTCCAAATGCACTGCAGAAAAAGTTTGCCYACAAGTTGAGCATGTGGATATCAGTACAGGTGACAAATACTTCGGGAAACAACATTAATCACCTGAAATATAAGAGACATTTGTTTCTGTCCTTAAACTCCTTGGCCTGGAACAGACTGCATTGGAAATCACTCAGACTGAAGTCTTGAACTGATAGGGAGTTTGTGTGAACACAGTTACTGTACTGTGCAAATCTGTTTCAACATCCATCATTTAAAGGACAGGCATAAATTTAACTTGGATCCTGCTTCTCTTCTGTTAAATAGTGACCAGATCATAAAGTGATTTTAGAAAGCAGGGATGCTAATGAATGTGCATTTTTAAAAGGCACCAGCCAGTGTCAAGCATGTGAAGAACTACAGCTRGTTCTTTTTATCACAAGGGTAACTTCTAAGATTTATATTCCCTATTTGACTCAGTGTAATCCACACAGATCCCTAGAGGAGAGGTAATTCTCAAAATAAATTGTTTTTTCKTTGTGTTTAAGTACATTAGTGATGTTGACATCAAAGCTTGGACAGTGTGTTCTCTAATGCTGGGAGCTTGGCAGCATTTCTATCACAGTGTCATTTTGGTTTATTTCATTATTTTAAAAGGAAAAGCAGAAGAAAATTCTTAGCCTTTTCAAAAGGAATTTAAAAAACATTCTAAAATTTACAAAAGGCTGTCAGACCTTKCACCTGCTCTGGTGACCCCTTTTGACAGAGCAAAACACACTTAGGTTACAAAGAAAGAGAATGAAATAATTGAAGTTCTCAAGTTTATTATTCTAAAAAGAGCCAACACCTGCACTTCTTTTATTTTTTTTTCCTGAAAAGAAAGCAGCAAATGTTTAACATTACTGAAAGTAATTGAAAAGGAAAGGAACATATTTTTCTTGCTAGARGGTAGGAAGCCCTCTCCTTGTTGCTGTGTACTGGCAAAGCTTTACTGACTTGGATGGTGCAATGCCAGTTTTTTTATGTTTTACCATCTGAGAAGYTGGCTTGGCAATGGAATCGAATGGATCATCAATTCAAGGCTCTCCCACCAACAAAGGCATTCCTTAAAATGCCTAAATACACAGAAACTTCCTTCACTCTTCACTGTACACACCTTAGTAAATTTAGGTCCACATTCAAGGCTTGTTGATCTTATTCCTTTCTCCTGTGAACTTTAAAAGGCCTTGCCTGTGTCACCATGAAAGCCCAAATCAATTGCCAAGCCAATAGAGCACTGCAAAACTTCTGTCTGATGAAATTATGTCGATTCACATTGCAAGTGTCTCTGTCTGAAAGCAGCAGTTATGCATTTACCGATGTGATAATCTAATTCTTCAGGCTGAAACATATTTTTTTCCTTCATATTAGCATGCTGTTTGCTTTTCATCCAAATATGTGAAAACAGGTGRTTAAGTWGAGAACAGAACTACCCAGAGATAATGGTTTMTAGACAGCAGAACACARCTTAAGCAASYATGTTAACTTGAATCACAGATTTCATATATAAAGATGTCGTTCCTTTATTCTATTTCAGACACAAAAAATAGGRATATAGATTTTGAAGTTGTGTATGACAGCTCACAGATGCAGATGGTTTGTAACTAATTTTAGGCTGCATTTTCCATTCAGATGAAGAGATTCTAATGTTAGACTCTTCATGATACATGAAGAGTTAGAGTTGTCTCGAGAATRCAAAGTTATTTATAAAGGTGTCGGTCTGCTTTGGATGGAGCACTGCAGATACGTGTCTCTTCTCCATCCTGGTGCCAGCACAGTAGGAAAMAAGATGTTCCAATAGCAATGCCACCAATCTGTGTGTCATTGAACACCTGTTTTTACATGGTCTATTTGAAGATTAATTGACTATTTTGCAGCAAAAGCTTCTTGTCGGGAAAGCCCCGTTCCGAATGCTGCTTTTCCAGATCATTACCCTTAATGTAACCACATATACAACATGATGATTATTGAGCAACCACACTGAAATGCTGCCATTTCCACGGAAAAGACCAAAAATTGCTGTGAGTGTTCTGTACTCCCTGTCATGGCTACAGCTGATTTACCTTTAATCCATCCCCGCTAGAAATTTTAAGGAAGATGCAGTGTAAACTAAACACAGACTTCATTAACAACTCCAGGACAAAATACTGTGAGGAAAAGCAGGCAAATGATTAATTCTATTTTTTTACATTTTGCAGATGCAGCATATACATGTGACATCCTGGTTGCAGTATTCTTCATTACTCAGAAAGATTTTTTGGTGCCAGAAGTCTGAGAAGATTATGGGACTGACAGAGATAAGAACTGAAGTTATGTTTGAYCAGAAACAATTGTGATGATTTCAGAGCTTACAAAGAAAATGCAATTACTTTTTTGGATTTGTCCTCTAAACATTTTCCTGCATGAAAACCTTTGCAGCCTCAACCAGCTCCACAAGCAGAAGATGTTTGTGCACATGGAAAAATCCTTACGAGAGCAGCCTGGCGGGACACAATCTCCACCTGAGTGCTGGGAACTGTGCAGCTTTGCAAAACAGACCTGCACCAAATCAGAGAGCATTCAAACCATTTTTATTTATGCACACCTAACTGAAGCTTTTCTGTTGATTTACCTTTGTTTCTAGGCCAAGCACAAAAGAAGCAAGCCTGTCTTAGCTGCAGTGAACCGTATTAGTGTTATCACAGTGACCAATTTTTCTTTTGCAAAACTACCTCTACAAATTGGTTGCCAAAACTGTTAACATTTTGCCAAATCTTTTGCTCAAGAGTGTTTAAAATCTAAGTTGCATTAACATATCAGCTTAGATTAACACCACTGTGTGCAGTGGGGACTCAGTGGATTTTTGCATGTGATGCCACATATATTAAACTTCTTTGATAAATCAGTTGTTGTCCTCTACATTTAATAAACATGTAAATACTRAAGACACTGTTTGTCCTTTTCTTCTGTGTTCAGTTCTAGATACACAGCATTGCACAGCCCCAGTAAAACACTTTATTGGCAGCAAGGATTCAGTCACATGGGCTTTCATTTGAAAAGATCCATCTTTTGGTAAAAAAAGCAGGTTCAGGAGCTTGATTTTACTGTGGGTTAAGCTTGGCCACAGCACCCTGAGAATGGCCAGCGAGATCAGCTGTAGAGCCAACACTCCAAAATTTGAGATGGGCTGGATGCAGCAACCAAGGCCAGGTAAATGATGGGGTGGGGTGACCCTGAGCAGCTGCTCAGCCCCACACTCCTTCACACCCCCTGCCCAGTGAGACAGGGGAAGAGAGGAAGGGGAAAAATCTGTGAGTGGAGGCAAACACCTGGAGATCACTTACCAACTGCAATCACAGGGAATTAGGCTGGATTTGGGGAAAGGGGAAGTGTAGTCTATAGTAGAGCTGGATGACAAGAAGGAAAAAAAAATAACTAAACCACTTTTCCCCCACTTTTCCCCTACCCTTTTTCCCAGGCTCAACTTCAATCCATGTGGCCCCCATACCTGCACAAGAACACCCAACACATGCACAGGGATTGTCTGTAAGTTAGATAATGTTTCTATGACAATGTAGCTGCACCAGGAAGAGAGTGGGATCAAGGTCTCAGGTAACCCCTGGTTCCAGTTCAGTTATTCAGTCTGTCTCATTTTCATAACCTTGTGACAAAGTRAAGCACAAGTGTGGTTTTGAATTCCACCATTATCTTTATACCTCTGTGTTGGGTTTCATGCTGTAAACTCTTTTTACAATCCTTCTAGAAATCTCATTGTGTGTGAAGGGTGAAGAAACTTTTGGTACTTTCTTATCACAAAAGTAATCCAGGCTGGATACTTTAAAAAAATTCTCTCCTTGTTTGTCCTCCTGACCCTAAGATGTTCAGTCATTTATATTAAATGAACTTCTTCTTGGACCTCTGTGCCAAACCAATGCTGCAGTGTTAAATGGTGAATATGAGAGATTATCATCTTGGCTACTACATGAGATTGCAATTAAAGTCATCTTCAGCTGCTAGTTGCTTTTGCTTATCAAATAGAAACATGACATTTCAGAAGCTGTTAATTCCCTGTCTTTGCTGCCATGTTCTCTTCTCTGATGCTGYGCTAAATCAGAAACAAGGCAGGAAAAGTCATGCCCACAGGCCTGATGCGAGGGTTAGACTCAACCTCCTAAATCAAGTGAAAAGTTACAATTGAATTTGGGCCATTTTTCAGCACAGAAAATCAGCATTTAAGTTAAGAAAGTCTCACAAGTGCAACTACAGAGTCCAGAACTAACAAAAGTCCTTTGCTGCTTCACTGTGGCAGCTGCAGGTTGGACATCAGTGCCAGCACAGAGCAGCTCACCCTGCCCAAGGTGAGGCTCAGGAGGAGCTTTGCTGCCACCRAGGGCAGAGTCACAGCCCCAGGGCTGGGCAGCACCTGCGTGCTCCCTTTGCCATTGCAGGGGTGGATTTAGTGCCAATGTTTGACTGCAGTCCTGCTTTAAATCTTGTTTCTAGAATGGAGGCTGAGTCTGTCTCTGTAAAGGTCAGGGCCAAGGAGCACATGGCAATTTAGCTGAGTGGAAAGCGCTGGGTTCACTGTGTGGCACAGCTGAAAGTGTGATAGCTAATGAAGGAAAACTAATTAGGCTCCAACTGCAATTGGGCCAGCATTGCTTTAATTGATACAAAAAGGTATTAGTAGCAAAGTCTTGGGTGTGAGGTGCTTTGCAGATCATCAGGGTGAGAGTTTGCAGAAGCACAGGAATTGAGTAGGTAAGGGCTTTTTGTAGCAGTGTACAAGAAAAAAAAATGGAAGCTATCTAGTTAGTCACTGCTATTTCAGCTTTTTACTTCTAGACCTTTTTTTCTGTTTTCAGGCAAAAATGTTTTCCTACTTTATAGATTCATTAGTAAGGAAAAACACTAGACTGTTGAGAAGCTTTTGTAGTTTTCTGGAATGCAGAGTGTATTGCCGAATGGAGAGGCTTTGAAGGGCCGACTTTGAAACCAAAGAAAGAAAATTAGGCTCAATTTGTTAAGAGTGTGTACCTGTTAGAAAAGCTTTAACCCTTCATTTAGCAAATCAGAATAGAACTAGCAGCTTCTATTTTGTTCAATTTAATCATAGGGTTTTAATGATTTTATATTGCTTTATTCCATCATATGTTATCAAGGCTAATGGGCCAAATTCTCAGTGGTTAAGCAGTAGAGCTTTTTTCAACTTTAATCTGATGATTAAAGAGTAAAATGAACCTTCTTTGTCTGTAGAGCCCATTTACACTGGCCAGTATCTAAAGACTTTGTGATTTTTAAAATTCAGASGTTACTGTTAACAAGAAATTTGTATGGAAAGCATCTAATGGCTTTTGCATTCTTAATACTGCTACTGTTTAGAAATGAGTAGGACTCTTTAGCAATCATGCCTCTGATTAGTTTGCAAAAACTTCTTGGACCCTTAGATGAAGGGGGATGAGGGAGGAAAATATTCCAGTTGTCTGAAAGTTGCACTGTTCCATGTGAGATAATTGCAAAGAACTATTGTTTCTTCCAGTAGTAATATGACATTTCAGTAATAACATACTAGAATAAATGTTTTTTGGAACTGAAGTTATAGAATTAATAGGCAAATAAATGTTATTTCACTGGTGAGTTCCATGTCTGCTATTGAATTAGACTTTGTAGAGTCCYGCTTTTTTCTCCCCCCAGTAATGAAACTTAGAACAGTAGATYTGATTGATAATGTAATTTCAAATTGTATTAATTCTGTCTTTTAATATTTCATAGGTGGATACAGTTTCTATCCTATCTCAGCAACCACGCTGCCTTYAGCTTCTGGAGACTTACAAGGTATGACCCAATATAAATATTTTATCAGTTTAAGTCAAACTTCATTCTTTTTTAATTTAAATGTTATGAGTGCATTGATTGTTAAGCCCCTCAAATGGACTRTAATGCCACCAAGATGAGGGAGAACATTTGTAAAAGCTTCAGCTTGCTCTTGTGTTTATAAAGTACTTCAAAGTAAATGCAAGTGACCTACATACCATWGCAAAGCATCAGTTTAACTGAATTGTACAATGAATAAAAAAGAAATATAATATGGATTTTTAAAGAGGCAATTGAAGTTACTCACAAAACCAGCTTTTAATGATTTAGGTGGTATAAAGGTGTATCTGTTTTTGAAATGGCCTAGCTATTCCTAATCTATTAATCTGAAAAGTGTGAACACCCACTAGATCAAGTGAGTTTTCTGTAATTTCTGTGAGTGCTCATTAGGAGACGAGTGTCTGAGCAGCCAGGTTTGAATATTGGCAAAGCAAATTTTGTTGCATATTTTTGTTAATAYATGCAAATATATAAAAATTTGTGCCGGTTATGAACATTTACATGTGCCACACATCTTTGGCTGTTGCTGTGTGCCTTGCAGTGCCCGATGCTCAGGGTGTTTCTCCTTGGGGTTTGGTGTTCCTGGCTAAAACAAGCAACAGCTGTTAACTTGCTTTATTGGAACAGACACAAAACCTTCCTTCCCTTTGTGTCAAAACTCAAACCCTGTTAATGAACTCTATCAGATAAACAAAATCCAGCAAACTGTCCAGGATCACTTAATGGGATAGACCACAATGCTCTGTGCTACTGGAAAGTAAAAGGAAATGGGTGAACAAAAGACATGGATAACTTGCTGATGATGGATTTCTGTTTTATACTGTGTTGGGTTATAGGGCGCTGCCTCTTTCATGATTGTTTGAAATAAAAAAAAGGTTAATAAAACCAGTTGAAATGCTAATRGATCCCATTTAAGGAGCAAGACTGTGAAAACAGCTGGTGCTCAGTTTTCCAGTAGTAAATGACTAAAATATTTTTTTTCTCAACTGCTGAGTTCATGAATCGAGCTGGTTTGTACTGTTGTAGACCAAGATGTCTAAGCATGCTTATTAAGGGTGCCATGTGATTATAAAGGATTAGTGACAGCTGTTTGGTTTGGGGAGGTGTTTGTTGTTTCTCCTCTGAGGTTCTGATGTTGATTCCTGGGACCCTGTATTTGCATACTGTGCATAGTTTCTTTAGTTATTTCTTAGCTTCTCACTGCACAAAATCTCATGGCATTTCAGAAGAAAAAACAGATTGTAAATTTTTTTAAGTCAAGCAAATTAGCAGCATTATCACCCTGAAGTTGTCAGAAAAAGGTTGAATCTCATTAAAATGATGATAGAAAAGCTAGGCTTCACTGATTGCTATGATGTGCCCTGCAGACAGTGTCAAACAATACTTCTGTGATAGCTGCTTATTTGATTTGTAGTCATTCACTTCTTTTCTCTGTGGAGGTAAACCTGACAGCTCTGCTGTTCTTGTTAGCAGGGCAAAAAGCTCTGGAAAAAAAAATCCACAGTTTTTTGCAATTATGTTCTATCCTGTCCTTGTGCCCTTATTGCTCTGGTTTATTTAAATTGTTGGTAGAAGTCATTGTTCCTGGTCTCTAATCTGTTTTATGTATAAAAGTTCCTTAGTTCATTCAAATTTGAYAAAATAGGCTGGTGTTTAAACAAAKTTTTTCMCTTCTCATTAGTCAGTGTKAGTACCAAYTTCTGTTKTAGAATCTGSAGTYGAWCTAAAACACTCMTCCTCCTAAAATGAAATTTTAGAATACATTTTTCAACACCTTTAAAACTTATTTTGCTAATCCTACTTTGCTTATAATGTGTTAAATGCTTTATAATTGACATGATTAGTGGTTTTAAAGTTACCTTTCACCCGTTCCTTTCCTCAAAATGCCAAACCCAAGGAGCTGCTGCTGCTGGTTCCCATTCTTTTGACATTTTTTAACTTCAGCGATTGTGCAGTGAATTCTAATTTGCCTTTTTAAAGAAAACAAACAATCCCCCCTACAGCAATTGCTAAAACTTCCTTCA